CTTTTAAGACGATTTCTCTTCTTTTTTTTACATGTGCAAGCACTTTTACTTGATGCACTCGTCAGCAGCATTGCAATCTCTGATGTCTGATTCGCCACTTACGTAAAATTGGATTACCCTTCAGTGCTCACGCGCGGAGCTTTTCAACCCAAAAAAGCCTTTTGATTCGCAAGCTTAAGACAATCCCATCAGACCCTGCAAACTAAATTTCCTTTTACTTGGTATTGGGGATTCTATTCTTTTCTTTCCTTCCTGGTCATCCACAGATATTTCTTCTTGTTTATATGATACTTCTCATAAACTGTGGTATTTGAATGAGGTGTTGAGGGATACGGTAGCGCGGCAAAAGGGAAAGGCGCATTTTCAATAGTTTTTCTTAGTCTTTTCAAATATGGATGAGCTTGCGAGGATGTGAAATAGAAAAGCACGTATGCAGAGGGGAAATGCATGAAAGAGAACGAAGACAAGGACTAACAAATTTTCTATGCTTCTCACAACTCCTCATATAACGATTTCATAATTACCTATAACTGGAAATTCGCATATTTTTACAAGTCCCCGTCAAAAGAAGTTTTTAGAATACTGAATTTTCAGAAAAAAAGGATGTAGAATCACTTGTGATAAGCAGGATTTTTCCACTGAACTAAAGAAATCAATTTTAATATGATATAACTTTTGCATTTTGGACACAAAGGAGGAATATATAATTCTTGTAAATTCTTTCTCGAAGCAAATAATTTTTGTTTGCAAGATGCTAACTACGGTACCGATAAAATTCTGGTTTTGCTTCACGTGTAGGTTTCGCGTGAATTTTCACTACTTCTTTGCACTTTTAAAATTGAGCGAAGTCTCACTCTTTCCATTATTGGGTAATTAAACTTTTCAATGAAGTGCAAAGTCTTGCAAAGTTAGCAGTGAGTATTGCAAAATTTGCACTTTTGATTAAGTTAGTGCCTTGGCTTTTTTCTGTTGGTCGACATTGCAGAAAGAAAGAAAATTGAGGTGATTGAGTGGATTAAGGGATTTGTACAGGTTCTGAAAAGTTCGAGACTTTAGACTTTTCTTGGAGACATAGCTCCAAAATTCCCGCCTACATCTTCAGTGAACCACATCTAGGGCTCTTGAAAACTGCACGGTTGGAGAAATTCCCAATATTTAGAAGAGCTGTGATAAACATTACAAATAAGCTAACCTATGTGTATCTGCTATAAATAATAAAATTCTATAAAGTTTCTTCATTTGAACTTCTGACTTTCGTTCATGTTTTATTTACACTACCGTAGAATTGACTTTCGGGATGGGAATTCAGCAAAAGAAATGTCTGTGTTGTCTCACGAAACACACTTCCTGCATCATAATTGGTTTACTGTCTCCAGAGACTGCTCTCATCTCAAATGAAATACAATCTTGAGTCGATGGACCTACGAACGAAGGCCATCCTTTCCTCCAAAACTGGGCTTTGTGGGAGGGGGAAAGAAAAAATAAATAGTGAAAAAATAAATGCAACCATACTGTTTTCTTGACCTCTCTTTTTTTGACCTGGAAACAACTTGTTTAGAAGTTCAATGACTAATTCATCTTTTCTATATTGCTCAGGTCACTGATTGGAAAAAGGAAAACAGTTCGGTTACAATTGTTCTATCAAGAAGTTTCGTTATCACTTGTTTCTCTTCAGGTGTTTTCCACTGCGACAGCATTCTATATTCCATTGATAGCGATAATATGTATATACTGGAAAATTATGAGAGCCGCAAAGAAGAGGTAAAATTCTTTAGGAAAACAAGCCTAAAAATTAAATCATTGTCAATATTACAGGTTCAAAAGGGAACGGGATCGACGTACCATTATAAGGCAACCAGAAGAACAACAGAATGAAAAATCTGCACCTCTTATCCTCAAAAAGAATAAAAAGGTTAGCATCTTTGGTGGTCAAATTTTGTGCGTTGAATTCTGATGAAATCCTGTTCTGATAGAGTTAGAAAAAAGATTTGATTGAAGATTTTTTGATGGCATCTGAGAAAAAGGCTTTTCCATAA